ACAAGTGAAGGTTTGGATCACATTTGGCAACAAAAGACGGTCAGTTAGAGCTAAAACAGTWAATATCTGTTATGCAGCTGTATTATGTAGTGTAGAGGGAACCAATCAGAACCGTTCCAGTTCAAAATGAATAAACACCTGAATCGTAGCCATTTGAATTTAGCTTTGGTGGACATCTTGGATTCTTTTATTTGTTTTTTTATATTTAGTTAGGCATCGCTCTCATCTACCACCACAACAAATTTCAGCTTAATATCTCTGAGAGTTTAAATTGAGATTTCAAAATGACACGGGGATCACTCTTGACTCCCACCTTACCAAATTTAATTTTCTTAATATTTCTAGAAATAAATATCTGAGGTCCGACTATTTGAAATTAGCTTTGGATCTTGGATTTCTCATTTCCATTCAGATTTTGTTAAAGATTATACTTGGCTTCTATATAAAATTTCAGCTGTGAGTTTAATGGCTGATGGCCTTGTAAAATTAGCATTAGCAGTTAGCTTAAATTGGGACAAGCAATCATTCTTGGCTACACCACAACAAATTTCAGCTCAGTCTAAAAACGGCTGAGTTATACCCATTTAAATTTAGCTGTGGTGGCCGTCTTAAAATTACAAACCCGGGGTTGTTTTTTTTTTTTATATGAGCCCCCAGGGGCAACACCTTGGCCACTCCGTGCCCATTGCAGWAAAGTCTAGCTCCGCCCCTGCTACTCAGCGCTGCATCACAAAATTTTGCTGGGTAAGCAATAATAWAACTTTTAATAATTTGRAYAGGGTGGGCGTGTTTTTACTTTATTTTTTCTTGGTTTCATTGATGTTGGATGTTTTATTATTTATTGGTGGAGGGACTACAGATGTTAATTAGCCCAAGGCTAAATCTGGTGCAATGCATCAAATGTTTTTACATTTATGTTTTAATAACACATGAATAAATTAGTAAAACTTGCCTTTAAGCAGAGGGGAAAAAAGAACAAAATTAAAACTTTGAAGAAGATTTGGGAGTTTCTGTACCTTTACATGGAGGCTCATAAAAAACACAGTTTAATTTGTTTACTGTTGTCACAGGAAACATATAACGGTTAACCACACTCCTGATATGCTCAAACACTGCGACCGATAAAGAGGAACTTGTGTTTTTTTTCTTCTACGTGCCTTAAGTTTAAGCACAAATATGGAAGTATTCTTGAGGCTGACCGAGAGTCTGATAAATCATCTAAGATGATCTTTGTTGTAGTTGTGAACAGCAGGTGAAAAAAGTCAGAATAAAATGAGTTTTTTTCAGAGGTTGTCTCAGTTTTTTTAAAGAAAGAAACAAGAAACTGAAAGATGCAAATCTTCAGTTCTGCGTCGCTGATTTTAGGTCTGTTGTAGTTTCAGTGAAAGTATGAAAATCTGTATAAAGCCAGCTGTCAGGTTTCAGGCACTAATATGAACAAATCTAACAGACAATAATGTTCTTTGCAAAATAAAACAAAAAGTTGATTAAACTTGGGAGTTAGTCCGTATTAAGATGGCTGCCGCAGCTAAACGAACACTAAAATCACTACGAGTTTGTCAGCTTAAAAATATAGAACTAAAATTATGAGAGATAAAACAGAAACATTAATTAGCGTCAAAGCCACGCCCCCTTCACCTGAGGCCACACCCACCTGTTGTTTGTTTCTTGCTCCTGATTGGTCTCTCCCTCCTCCTCGGTACTGCTGGTGGAACAGGAGTCCTGGTCGGGCCCCAGAGCTCCGCCCCCCTGTGGCGAGTACAGTGACACGTCCGGGCGTCTCGGGGATGGAGGCGGAGGTTTCGTCTCTGCGCTCTGATTGGTTGAAGCTCCTCCTCCTACCTGGCTGGAGCACACAGGTGAGTTTGCTGGTTTGGTCCTGGGCGGGGGGATGGGTCGAGACGGTTTCTTGACCAACAGTGGTCCCTGGGACTTCAGTTTGTCCTCCTTCACCGCCTTCAGGTCCACCTCGTCTCTCCTGCTGGCCTCCTGCTCGGCCTCCTCGCCCAGCAGATCTGCTCCCGGTTTCTCTTTTCCTCTCTCTCCTCCCTTTTCACTCCTCTTTGCAGGATTCTGTCCATCGTCTCCTCCCGCTGTACTCTCTTTGACCGAGCTTTTCCTGGAGGAGGAGGAGGTGCGGTGCAGAGGAGCAGGGGGCAGAGGGGGAGCAGCTCGGGCCTGCAGGGGCACAGGAGGCCTCGATGGAGGAGGTGATGTTGGCTTCTTCTCGTCTTTCTCGCCTCCTTCCTCGTTTCGCTCAGGTTCCGGAGCTACAGGAGTTAAGGTTTGAGGAGAGGAGAAGAGGAGGCCCAACCCGGGGCCTGAACCCAGGCTGGGGGGTCGAGGAGGAGGGGGCCGCCTGTATGGACCCTCCAGGCTGGTCTGAGTCGGCCCTTTGCCCTGCGTGCTCGGTTTCTTGGAGGGTTCTCCGTTCTGCAGGGAGGAGGCGATGATTTTGCTGTAGATGGGGTCAGCCCTGGAGGTGGAGGAGGCGGGGTTTGGGTTTTTGTTGGGCTGCTCCTCCACGGCGACTGGGTTTACGTACAGGTATGTGTCGGGCTGAACCGGGACATCCCGGTCCTTCTGGTTCACATCAGACGCCCAGAAATCTGCAGAAACAGAGTTAAAACGATTAAAAATCRGAAAAACGAAATAAATTATTTGGATTTTGGATTTCAAAATAAAACTTTGTGTTTGTTTCATTAGTGACAGCGCAGATGATGCTGATTTATTTACCTGCACCCAAGGCTGAGATGACCTCCAGCTCTTCTTTCTTCGTCGCCACGTTGACGGCCTGGGGTAACCTCAACGAGATGGGGAGGATGTCCCTGAGTGGGAGATTTATTTATACAAACTCAGGTATTTATCATAATTCAATAAAACTGGTATGATTAAGAACATTTATTTTGGTTTGCTTCTTAAGTAGCTTAAAGATAAACATTTCCTTGAAAACAGTTGGGTGCGGGATTGAAACTAATGATGAAGACCAGCGTTATTAGTTAACTAAAACTCACTAAATAACGAAAACTGAAACTGAAAAAACGTTTTAGTTAACTAAAATAAATAAAAACTGTAATAAAATGAAAGAAAAAAAATAAAACTGTATAATCTTTTTACAAAACTAAACCAAAACTGAAATTATAGGTAGAATATCCTGAGTTTAAGTGTTTGCCGATTTATTTTGAGCTGTGTGGATGGATGAAACAAATGGTTATTTATTCATTCATTTATTTATTTATTTATTTATTTGAAATTGAATTATTTCATATTAGCTGTGAGCAGCTTACAGCACCTCATGGTCTGTAACAACACTTGTTTACAGCTGCTCAGCATGATGACAGTAAAAGTTGGTAGAAATCAGCGATGTCCACTTTGGGATTTCTTTGAATATGACTGCGAGAAAAATGAAAGCAAGTGTCTTGTAGTGAAAACAGGTGATAAAATAGGTGGAATACTTCTCTAGAGAAAAACTGCATGAACCAAGCTCACACTAGACGGCTAACTATGACTATCTCGACACGCTAGCTTCTCTCAGTAGCTTCATGAAAAACAAGCAGCAGGTAAATGACAAGCAGCAGAAAAATATTGTCGTCATCCTAAAATAACCACCCTTAGTTGGCAAAATTGAGTTACGCAATTATTTTAGGAAGGTGTCGTTATAATGGACGCTTTAACTAGCGACCAAAAAGCTGTTGGTTAGTTAACTCACAGGAACATCACAAGCTTGAGGAGAAATTGGCAAATAAACTATAAAAAACATACTAGAACTAATAAAAACTAAATTAAATTAAAACTAAGCATTAAAAATGCAATAATAACTAATAAAATCTAGCAAATCCACGGTACAAACTAATGAAAACTGAAATAAAACTAAACTAAAATGAAAAATCCAAAACTATTCTAACCTTGATGAAGACCACTTTAAAAGATTATAAAACGTCTTGTTGCTGGTGTGTGTGATGTACCTGCTGACACAGTAGAAGGATATCAGTTTGAAAATGTCATCAAAAACCAGAGAGGATCCCTCTAAGTGAACAACTGAGAACAACAACAACAAAAACACCGTTAGAAGTGGATTTTCTTGTGATATATTTCCATATAAAGATGTTTTTTCACAATCCTTACATGTTTTGTGTTGTTTGACGGTCAGGTTGTGAACATGSGGTGTTCCCTGCTCATCAGGCAGTCGGACTGAAATCACGGGGACCTTGTCCTCTGTGCTGTGAACCAGGAACGCCTGCGAACATCAGCAGTTATTGGATGCTGAGTCATGCTTAAAACAGGTGAAAACAGAAGTGATCGTGAAGTTAAAAGTCTTACTCCYGCRGACTCCTCCTGCAGGATGCAGACGCTCCTGTCTCGGCTGAGTCCTTGGGGTCGCCACACAGAAACACTCCCAACCAGCTTGTCCACAGAGCTCAGCAATGGAGGAGCYGGTGAGGACGGGGGGAGAGAGGGCGAGGAGGACATGGGGGACGAGGGAGGAGTAGTCMGATCGGATGGGGCAGACGGTTCAGGGAGAGGAGGGGGCGGCGAGGAGACGATGACGGGAGAAAGAGGAGGAGGAAGAGATGAAGGAGCGGGAGGGAGAATGGTAGGGGTGGCTGGAGGCAGAGGAGGTCGAGAGGGGGACCTTTGTCCCGGAGGTGGAGGTCTGGGTCGACATGGCCTGGCTGGAGGGTGGGAGGGCAGCGATGGTGGTGGAGGAAGAGAAGAGGAGGCGGGTGAGGAGGCGAGGGCTCCTGTCAGACAGCCTGAGTGACTGCAGAGAAAAAGACAGGCTCCTTAATCTCACATTTTTATTCTCTTTGGAAAATATCACAAGAAACAAACAAATAAATACTTTTGAACTGACTCACATTAGTTCAGAAAAGGTTGTGCATAAACAATATCTCACCTGTCATAGATAGCTCTCGGAATAACCTCAGTTTGGAAAAATAGGGTTTAATTCTGTTAGCTAATGATAGCTAACGAGGTTCAGAAATAATTGCTTTTGCGAACTGATAATATTTCTTTTTAAATGATAAATTTTTCAGGATTGGATCAGAAATCTGCTTTAATCTCAGGCTCAGCGCTGACCAAAAAGGACTTTTGCTGTTTTAAAAACTTGAACCAAAAAAAAATAAAAAATAAAAAACCTCATAGTTCCCTGTTTGTGCTGAAAAAAACTCCAAATTCCAAGTACATAAATAACTTTAATGCAAGTTATTTTCAGAGTCGTATCAAAGGACATTTATGTATTTTTTAGCGTTTTTAATGTTTACATTGTTACATTCAAAACATAAAAACACTTTTACTTCTCTTTAAGTTTTAACATCACGTAATACATTAAAATTTTAATTATGATGTCATCATGAAAGGAAGTTGTTCATGCACTCGTTCCATTAAACTGAGTTGAGTAAATTTCTTCAACTTGGTTTAGTGGAACCAGTTGACCTAACTTCATTTCTTGCTAAAGTACTTCTACTTTCCCGATTACTGTGAGCAGCATTGACTTCTACCTAAGTGCTTTCCTCATCAGGGAAATTCATTTTTACCCATGTCATTTCCAGTTAAGGTAGTTTTACTTTTACTTTCAAGTACTTTTCACACCTCTGTCTATTTTACCAAATTGATGAGGTTATTTAAAGAACTATGTGCAGCAGGTAAGATATTCATAACTGAGCATCTGAACTATTTAAAGCTGCGAAACTCAGGCTCTAGTTTATTTCTGTGTCTATGTTTGCCTTAAAGTTTCAGCTTCTGTTTTAGTCTCATCCTCTTTTGCTTTATCTGTGAGCTAATGGAAACCAGTTGGCCTCTGCAGGAGGAAACAACTGTAGGTGGAAGGTAAAACTAAAACAATGACTGAATGAGACACTGTCTTCTGATTTATTACTATAATAAAAAAAACCTTAAAGGTAAAAGTTCTTTAATGTCTATACGTTTGTTTTTTTCACACATGCAGCTGCTGAACATTCTTCTAAAGGAAAGGAGAAAAACTAGAGCAGAGGTTAAGATGACTTACAGTGTTTCCAGTTAGATGCTATCCTGCTTATTTAAGCAACTTTAAAGTTGACTCACGTTTCTTTTCCAGTTTTAGCTTAAACCCCTGCAGATGTGTAGTTTTAGGAGCAGCGTATGTGTTATTCACTCTGTGTTGTGRTACAAACAGCTCACCTGTGAAAGGTTTGAACCGTGAGACTGACTGCTCACGTGCRGAACACGTGAGAGGACATAAAACCAGCCGCTAACTTTGACACCTCTCTTCACCGACAGTCGCCAAACAACTCAGACAGAACAAACCTCAGAAAGCAACATTTAGTCTGACATCTGCTCAAATTTAAAATAACTGATGATTTAAATTAATCAGATCAACAAATTCTTGATCTGCTCCAGATTTTAAAGCAAGACGTTTTAAAAAGTCTGATTTATACGCAATATAAAGGCCACCACTTCTCCACTTTTGTTGTCCACTCCGCTCTTGTTTTTTCAGCTAATATTTTTAATTAACTGTGTTCAAGGATGTCCCTCAGATAACAGGAGAGCTGTTCAGAAAACCTTCAGAGACTACACAACAGAACTGAGGTGAGATGACAAGCTTTTRTTTGCGGTCCAGATTAGTTGGTTTTGATTTTTATTGTTCAAGTGAGCCGACATATAATCTAGAACTCCTGACGTCCTTTGCAGATAAACAAGTGTTTTGTGACATTGAACTAAAAGATTTTAACCATGACATTGATTATCAGGCGCCGCTTCGGTTTTCTTTGCAGCCTCTGTGAAAATGTTTTTTTTTTAACTTAGATTTTTATTAATTTTTAATTTTTCAGCAGAGCAAAGTACAACCATACTTCAGTGGTACATAATACAAGTGTTGACAATATGAAGTTTTCCATACAATAAACATATTGGAATAACAACTTACAGCCACAGCGTCATGTTTATAGACTCATCATTYTACACCATTTAAATAAAAATGAACTCTGGAAAAGATAACCAAACGACATGGGCCAAAAGACAAATCCATTAGGTTTAATTAAATCAACAGGACCTCTGCAGGTCCCCAGRGCAGGCCATACTTTGATTTTTGAAGTCTTAGTGAGTAGGTTATCTTTTCCATTGTATGCAATTCCCTTACTTTTTGAACCCATAAGAAGAAGGCGGCTCCAATTGCATCCACCTAATTGTAATGCATTTCAGAGCTGCTGTAAAAAGAACATTTAACAAATACATTTTCGCCCGCCCTTGTAAACCATCAGGAATAATACCGAGTAAGGCAACAGTAACATCCCTTGGGATAACCCCAGACAAAATTTGGTTTATAGCTCTATACACCTCATCCCAAAAGTTTTTGAGTTTGGGGCAGGACCAAAAAACATGTGTGGTTGGGAATCATTGAGCCACAATTTCTCCAACACAAGCTTGGTACCTTAGGGTCCATTTTAGCAGCTACATCAGGGGTCCTGAAATATCTGCTAATAATTTTCCATTGAAATTCCCTCCATGTATTTGAGTTAGTGACTCGGTGAGCCTGAGAGCAGATATCCTCCCATGTTTTGTCGGAAATTATTTTGGCCATCTCTGCCTCCCATCTTTGTTTTGTCCAGGAGGGTTTGTTGATGTTCATTGACAGGAATACACTACAAAATGGTTTGTTTTTACAGCACATCTCAAAGGAAACGGGTCGAAGTCGTTTGAGTCCGTCCCCACCAGGAAACACTGCTACACTTTTAGCTTTCAGCTAATTTGCTCCTTTTAGCATTAGCAGTTTATTCTTATAGCTTGTGTTTTGCTTTTTAGTTTTTAGCTGGCWCTCTGGCTTTTAGCTAGTGTTTTGTTTCTGTGTTTTCACCATCGCTAAGAGATGCTGTAAAACACATCATTTAARGTTAAATCTGACAGTGAGCATTATTTTTACATTCCATCTGCTTACTTCCTGATTGTGATCCAAATTTAAGCAGCTGAAGCAAATTACAGTTGGCAAGCATTTCGTTACAAGACTTACAGGCTGAAATACTCTATTTTGGCTCTTAAAGCTTCTGCTTTTTTGCTGCTTTACTGAACTTTTTGTTAGAGGGAAAAAACATGCTTGTTTTATTGCAGAAAATTATCCATTTAGGCCCCAAATCAGCAGTTTATTACTGATTCTAAAGAACAAAACTATTGCTTAATAACTGTTCATTTCATCAGGGTTTATTCAAGTAAATCAAAAAGCAAACTTGTTCTTTTACAAATCCTCGGTGCTTGCCKTGGAATTTTAGCTACTTGATATTTTTAATAATCCTGAATCTTAGGTCAGATGTTATTTTTCTCAAATAAAACTAAAAGGTTGGAGACTCTAGATGAGTTTGAAGCAATTTCCTGACATAATTTTAGGTGTTAGTCAATGTGTTGAAAAATTTGCAAAAGAKCAAGAAGGAAAACTGAAATAATGTTCTGCAAAGACAGCAGAAACACTTAAAGGCAATACTGTATAAACAACAATAAAACACAAGTGATAGAGGAAAACAAAAACAAAAACTGAGACACAATGACAGGAAGAGAAACACTCCGGACGCTTTTTCTTCTGTAAAGTTTATCATTTCTTGTTTCCTGTTTTCTATACCTTTCTGTCTGTAACCTGGAAACATGTCAGACTTTATTTTAATAGTAAATAACTCCAGACATTTTTTTAAAGAAACCCAGAAATCTTTCTGAATTGCGCAAAGATCTCTCCTCTGAGATACTGTATTTCCTCTCAAGCTGCCTAACAGAACAAAGAATAAAATTACATTTAAGTCAGCTAAATTTAAAACTGAAAAAAACAAAACAAAAAACAAAAACAATAATAATAAAATTAAAAAAAATAAAATAAAAACAGCATGTTCAGAACAGACATCCTGACTCATGTGGTCAGGGCAGTGGTCATCTATCTATCATCTATCTATC